GTTATTTCTCGAATAATGACTGCACCAAATTTCTTGTATAATTTAAATAACATTCCGGATATCTTCGAAGATCTTTAAAATTATTTATAAACAAACCACTTGGGTGCCATTCCAAAAATAGTGGATGAACCTAATATTTTTTTTTTTTTTTTTTTTGTTCTGCATTTCAAACGAAATAAAATTTAAACAGTAACAGCCTCTTCCGTATAATTCGTCAATCGATTGACTAATTATGAAAACTAGGTGCTCGATATTTTGACTGCCACAGTATGACTGCCGTGGTCAGGCTGCCTAGTGCGTTACTATTCAAAGTAAAACCGCTAAATATAAGTTAAATGCTTTTACTTATACGCACTTAAAATAATCGTGGGTATTTAAAGACAATAGCTGTTTGCCTCGTCGATTTTAATGAGAAGCACAATTATTTATGTCATACTCACAGTTGAAAATCTGTAATCGTATTAAATTTGGTGTAATTACATTGACATATTTTGTTTGTACGTTCTTCATATTCTCTGGGTATAAATCGCATTTTATTTTTCAAATGCAAGATGAAAAATTTGGTCTTTTTATCATACCACTAAATAAAGATGATTGATAAAAAAAAATATTCTTATTCATTTAATTATATTAAAAATTATAATTTTTAATGTTTTTTAAACTTTCTTAGATTTTAATCGGTAATCCGTAAACATATTGTATGTTACAAATTAGAAATATTCGAAAAAAGTACCGTATTATATGACATAATTATAATTATAATTAATGTAACTCGTATCAGTAGTCTGTGTAATGTAATGTGGATCAGTATTGGACAGGAAACTAATTATATTGTATTTTACTTATAGTGATATTCCTGAAATTATAGTTTACGCGTGTTTAGAAAAATTTAAAGTAAAATAATTTGAATCTTTTTTCAATTTACCAAACGTTTATAATTGTCTTTTGTAAGTATAATTTTGTGAGCTAATTTTTTCCAGTAAATTTTCACACAATTGTAACTCGGTTACCTATTGAAAATACAGTGTATTATATTTGTAAATTTAAATTCAGCTGGTTGAGAACTTTACAGTGTTGTTTTAACAGTTCCGTTTCAGAGTGCAATTCGATAATTTTATAAAATATAACGCAAACATTCATGTATACAGACAGCATTTTAAACACAAGAAAAATGCGTACAGACATATGAGATACATGTACGTACGTTTCAATTTTAATATTTATTCAGCGAGCAAGTGAAGTGATGGTTGAATATAAGTACTAAATTAGCAGCAACTAAGCGGATTAAGTTGAAACAATAGATCAAATATTGTATTATGTTTTACTTTTATTTTGAACTAAGTATCAGAGATTTTTTTTTAACAAATTATGGGGGTGAAAGGAATAAAATAATAAAAACCGTTTTTATCTATTTTTTCGACCAACCTTTAAATATCTGACGAACCTTTGCGTTCGTATTATTGTCACGTACGCTTACGGCGTCTTGACGACCGTTGCGCTAAGATACACACGTATGTACACACGCATACGTACGGTCATACGGTCGATCTTAGGGCGGCTTAGCGGCGATAACGGGGTGGAACGTTAAAAGGGAACGCGTAGTAGACGATTTATCAGCGAGATAGGAATTGAAGCCGAAAACCATTAGAATCAATCAAAAGTATAGTGGAATGGTACGTGTATACATTTATATGTATACTTAATGGGTCCGCGAACGCGACGTTCCGAGTACAACTGTCGCGGGACCTGCAATGTTGGGTTGTCGGTGACGGAAGGAAAAAGGGCGCGGGCGAAACCGATCAAATACGCGTACGTGGGGGGAGGGGCAAAACTGTTTCGCCTCGAAAACGTCAAGCGTCTATCAGCGTGTATGGTGCGTGTGAGTGCGCACGCACGCGCATAATTCCGATAGGGCGCGTACATAACTGCGAGGTGACGAGGTTTACGTACCCGCCCGCCGCACCACGTGCCGGATAATACGCTCGGCTGTGGGGTGGTTCGGTACGGAAATCTGTCTGGGCGGAGGGACCGGGGACGGGGTGGTGCCGAACCCAAATGGATGGCTAACAATTATTCATCGCTTGGCTTCGGCAACGGTGACGGCGCACTACGAAGCGCTTTTGCCGTTGTCGCGCTCGCACACGTCACCTGTCCCGCGCGCCCGACTAAATGTGTTTCTCTTGTCATTCTCGTCGGAGTGCATTAGCTCACGCGCACCACGCGCTTATACACCCGTGCGCGCGCGCACACACGTGAGCATAAATACGAACGCGAACGAACGCACACTACCTGTCTCCGGGGCTACAGCGCCGTCACATCTCGTCGCCCACTTGAGCATGACACGCGCGCGTATGACAACGAACGGACCGACGAACTCGACCATTAGCTGTGACTACGACAACGGCCGCCGGTGGCGTATTGATTGTTCAATTTTACGCCGCGTCGACCCCACGCTCGCCGTACCTATGCGCGCAACACTGGTCTGTTTGCTTACACGTATTTCGCGTAACTCACTCGGTCGTATGCGACCGGTGGCTCGGTGACGTGACCGATGAACCGTCGAACCGTCCCGGCGGCATCGACCGACGTTTCGGGAGATTAAAAAACCCTGAGCGGTACGGCCACTGTCGGCGCGCGATCAGTCGACATTTGACACGCGCGATTTGCAATCAACATTTATACCGAATTTCGATATTGCAAAAGTACTCAAACATTTATTATTATTTTTATTTTTATTTATAATTATTACTATAAAAAGAATAAATAATAAAAAAAAAAAACTTTTATTATCAGTTTCAAATGATTATAATTTATGCGTACGACTTTTTGACTCGCACGAGTGACAAGTAAATAAATTAAAATTTTAACAATATTATTGAATAATTTATCGGAATCGAATGTAATGACTCACGCTAAAAGCTATGTAATTTATTTAACATGTTGCAATCGCAATCAAGTTAATGAAGAATCGAAATATTTGAACACATTATGCCGTTTATGAAATAGAATATGATTATATAGTTTGTTTAACACCAACCGTTATGTCAGATTGTCGAATGTTTAGGGGAACTTTGGACACATTCATTTTTTGATTATGGAAAACAATTTGCTAACCCTTTCTTTTTAATGCGTGCATCGATTGACAGTGGTCTTGTCCCAATACTGCAGTTTCCAATATTGTATACCATTTATTGAATAATAATAATAGAATTATCAAACCTTTGATGAGCTATGTAATTTAAAGTATAAAGTTTCATAAGCAGGTATGAAGTAAGAATTATTAAACATGATAAAGTATAATTTTTTGGTACCAAAAGTTTACAGCGTGAAAACTAACATTATGTTGTACAAATTATAATTCATATAATCAACTTTGGAATCATTCGTATACTCGCTAAAACCGTTGGATTTGTTTTACGCTTAATTCACTGTAATTCGAATTAAATACTTTTACATTTATAACCAAACGGAGTGGAATAGATTTAAGTAAAATATTATGTTGGTAATATTTCTAAAAAATTAATTGAATATTTTCAATCTAAAAATAAATTAGTTGATAGTTTTAGAACAAATGAGATTTTGAAAATTTTTAATTCACAGTTAAAATTGTAGTATAGGCAATGACTATCGGAAGGTATTAAATTATAATTTTTTTTGTCAATATCAAACTTTTATTTTTATACTTTCTTGGGCAAAATAATGGATGTTTTTGTGATTCCATCATAAGAGACAAATACTAAATTTAATACACAGGTTATAGTATTCATGATGTGATTTTTTTATTCTAACCATTTCAAAAATGGATTTTTTTGTTTTAGTCTTCGGGATGAATTTATCTCGAAACTCTTCTGCCCTTCCAAATTGTATGCCACACAATTTAGGCATGTGCATACGTAGTTTATATTTGGATACGGGAAGCGATGTTTTGTCGCTATATGTCAATCGGTTGGTATGGTTAACTATTCACGACGGTGCCTGTGTTTAATCTTGCATTAAAAATATCATCGAGTGACTTATTCATGTGAGAATATTACAGCCAGGAGAAATATAAATGATGAACTTTCGTGTATATGTCTAGATCGGGAAGCTTCCTGGTCGCAATCGATTCGCAAAAATATATATGTGTACTCATTCTCCCTTTCCATCCACAAACGATTCCACCTCGTAGCGAATTTCTTCTTTTCAATAAAAAAAAAAAAAATGTGTACATGCACATTTATACAAACACGAACACACACACTCATATATATATATATATGTGTATGTTTATATTAATAAATAGAGTCGGGTTAGTAGACGGAAAATGTACGGATAATAAATAATATAAAGTGGAAAAATTCCGCATCGGTACGCACGCCGATGAGGCATTGAGATCGCTCTGCCGAGCGTACGGATTTCCCGTCCCGTTCGATTCCCGGTGTGATGTGATCTAAATAATAAACGGTCCTGCATTACCATAATATTGACCTAGGTATGTGTATAAGGGCGACAGGGTTGATATTCACTCGGAGTAGTCGAGTGTGATTGTGCGCGCGCGTGCAATATGTATGTGTGTGTATAATATAAAATAAAATATTCGTTTTGTTACGGGGTTGTATGCGGGGGCCAGAATGTGATTCGTGTACTCACGATTAGGGGATGTGACGGCTTCGACAGCGACAACGGTCATGGAGTTGACGGGATGGGTTTGACTTCGTACAAAACCTGGGTTGAAAAATTACCCTCACCAATAAAAATTAACTTATTTAACAATTATTTAATTATACTATCTATAGGATAATGTATTATCCTACGCGTATGTTCACTAGACGTATATTATACAATGTGTTGATACATTGCTATAGCTTACGTTATAAGTTGTAATACATTTCTAGTGAAAAGGAAATGTTTTTTTTTTATTTATTCGTTAATAAAACAAATTAAATTACAAAAAAAAAACCTATAAATAAAATCAATTTTGTGAGCATAGTTGTGATTGTACGTTATAAATGGGGTTTCAGCCGTGTTGCTGTAGCTGATCAGTCCGCTGGAAACGAAAACGAGCTGAAATATGTGTCAAGGTAGGAAACATATTAACGGAATAGGTTTTGAAGTGTGTTTTGTGATTTTTCGAAACCGGGATATTCTATTAGCTATACATATTTATTACATGAAACCATTAATTTTTCATACGTACTGATTTGATTTTTGATAAACAACAAATATGTAATATATTTATATGAAAATATATACATATACATACATATACACACACAAGGGTACTTGTGTGCATGTAAAAGTACACATACATTCATGTGGTGTATATATTAAAGTGTGTGTATTTATGTATTCATATCGATTTTAGCTAATCGAATGTTCCTGGCGTTTTGTTTAGTTAATTTTTGTATGTTTTTTTTTTTTTACTTTTTTTACTTATTTTTTTTTATTAATTTAGTTGGGATGTTTTGATTTATTGGTGTACCGTTGCGTATTTAGAATATTGATTGTTTTATCTTCAATCTGCAAATTGATATCGCTTTTGATGTATTTTATTTTTATGGGCTGCCATATTGATTTGTTTTGTTTTATTATTTTTGTTAAAAAATTCCACCAGACAAGAAACAGGTTTTCACGTTACATTTAATTTCTATATATACGCGTTGTGTGGAAGGAATTTATCTTTAAATTTGGTGCGATTTAAATACTCCCGACAGTGCATGTTTTTTTTTTTTTATTATTTTGTAATCTTTGGGATACAAGTTGTTTGTTATTTTAAATTATTGTTGGATTAAATTGAATTCATAATATATGTATGGCATGTCAGAAGTAAGATTCCAGGAGGAAGAAAAGATCAGTCAAATTTTATATTTAGAGAAGAGTTTGGTATACAGTATTTTGTACACAAACTTTCATTGATTTAATATTTTAGAGTGGCTAATATGAGTTCTCCATCAAACATCAAATTTTACTTAATTTTATTTGTTTTTTTTTTCGAAAAATTATAAATAATTTTTAATTACAATATCTAAGAGAATAGTCGAATAAGTTAAAGTAGTAAAAATGTTTTCAAATTACATGAACCGTAGAAAAACAACAGTTATCTAACAGTATCCAGCGTTGTTTATATTTTTTGTAATATTATGCACAAATAATCATCTTAAATATCGGTGTACACGTAGAAGTTCTCGTCAATAAAGATTGAGATGAAAGAAGAATACCTGTTTGCGGATTTTCCTTTTTAATAAATATTCTTAACGACTAATGAGGCATAAATACTGTTTTAACAGTAATTATTTCAATGAAAATTAGCTTTAAGATTATCATCTTATTGAGTAAGAAATGCCAAGACCTTATTATTATTTATAACTTGTATTAAGTTAATTTAAATTCCTTACTGTATATAATTTATTCGTAAAATGATCGTTTTTCTGTTGTTTCGTCTGATGTAAGATTTTATCTGGTAAATACCATTTTTTTGGCATAAAAATAGTGTTTATTAATAATCAAGCCTAATAATTCAATAATTATTAAACAATAGTTTAATTTAATCATGATATCCTGTAAGTTTAATAATTTTCATCAAACCGTAGAATTCTGTCTATAAAGTTTGTTTAAACAATTTTTTTTCGTGTTTTTATTTCTACGATACGTGTACAATCGATACGTTTATTTTAAACAAAAATATTGGAATTTCTAAATAAAATGTTAAACGTTTAAAGGTATCGGAGCACATGAAAAATGTACGCCAATATTATAATAATATGCTATGTGCGGCCGATAAAATAGAATATTGTTTTTAATCAAAAACATTAATTCGGATTAATTCGTACTGGCACATATACATTCCCGTGTATGTGTATATACATGCATATACAACAATAACAATAATAACAAATAGCGCTGTTAATCGCTCCCGTTTTCGGCGAAGCTAACCGACCCCGTTCTTCTCTGCCGTCGTTGCGAGCATTCGCCGTGCTCACCATCCCTGCACTCGTCCGCCGTCCGATCCTCTAGCCGGCCGCACCGAATCGCCGTGCCGCTGCAGCCACCACCGATCTCGACCGTCCGATTTGCGGTTTTAATTAGATATAGGACTGCCGATCGGGCTTTTAATCATAATCTCCGTGGCATTTATCGTCGACTGAAAAAGTCCGCTGGTCATTGTACGCGTAATACCCACCGCATCCCTCTAAACGCGTATACTATATACACGGCTGATCGGACCCTAAGCGTGTGTGTATATATTATTATTATTATTATTATTATATGCGTATAATATCGAGGATACACTCGCATGCACGCAATACAACCTTATTGCGTAATTTTGGTTGGTGGTGAAGAAAAACTTTTTATTTTTTCGTGGTAACACGCTTCGGTATACATACGAGTGCTTGTTATTATAATTGTGATATTAATGATAATAACCACAATGATTATAATAATAATTGTACCATATTAAATTATATATATATAGGTTCGTGCGTGCGTGTGTGCATTATCGTGTGTGTGTGTATATATGTAAAACATTCATCCGGGTTTTTTGGTCATCGCGGTATTGATGGTCAATGGTGTTTTTGTATCCGTACGTACATTATGCGTGCAGGATAAGAACGGTCGTCGTTATGTGTTTTGATGCAGTGTATATGTGGTGGAACGGAAGGGCTTCGTTGGTGGGAAGGGGAGAAGGAAACGCAAAAGGGGTTTTGTGGTAGTGTTTGAATTTAATAGCGCGCCAAGTTACCACGTAATCTAGTTCGGATGCGCGGGAGTGGTTTCCGCGGCGGCAACATTTTCACAAATAATACGTTCTGTGCTAAGACCTAACATAAATCAACCTCTGTTGGCCCCGTTTACTTCTATTTATATATCGTGTGCACCAACACGAGTTCCAAGGATTTGCCCACCCGTACTCGCCGCGAACCGAGGGTTTCCACTTTCCCATCCTTGTTTGTCCGAGGTATATGATTTAAGGCTCGAACCCTTTAATACACGGTTTTATGTCCTTCACATGTACACGCACATCTTCACGTTTGATTCTCCTGCCACCCGCAGTCCTTTTCTCTTTTTTTCGTAAACACCGCGTGTATATATAGGTATACCATACGAACATTGGTTTGTGTACGTGTGAATTTGTATTCGTGTAGGTGTATCGCAATATTTCTGGGCGAGCATAAACGTGATCTGAAAATGGCCAGTTTTTATGATCACGAGATTTCTATTGTGTGTTTCTCTCGATACCCATCCACCACCGCCTGCTAGTGCGTTCGCGCTTCTTCTGCCTTCCGCGAGCGCGTTATATACATTCGTCTCACCGTTGTGTAAACGATATCTCCTAACAAAAAATATTTGTTATACAATATAATAGTATCTTGGGACATTAGATATGAGCTACTTAAGGTTTAAAAACAAATCACCTATTCGTCATATTTGGACACTTTTCGATAAATTCAATTTCAAGTGTTGTGGTACTAATAATAAGTATTGTTTATTAATCGTATATATCAATAGTATTACATGTTGATTCAAAACAATTTTATTCTGTAACTTATATTAACTTATATTTAAAATAATTTACACGTTTTTTATTTTACCACATTTATTCTTCACAACATTTGAAAAGTTTTTTCAGCAATAAAAAATCGTTTTTAACAAGTATATAATATTATAATTATTTATCTCCAATCAACTATTTTAGAACAAGCGCAAATTCATGATATTAGAACGGATAGACTTTTTAATTGGTACCTGATGTTTGAAGTTAAGCAAATACGATATTATGACATACTATGATAAATGTCATTTTTAAGTGTATTATAATTGTCTCTAATAAAAAATGAATCCAAATGACGATGGTCAAAACATTCTTCCATAAATCCATAATATATATATATATATATAAATCATTAATATTTTCACATTTTTTTATTTATTTATAAAAAAAATAAACTTAAAAGTAAGAAATTATATCTGTACATCGATAGTATTTAACATTTTTATAAACTTACTTATGTAAACAAATACTAAACAAAATTCTATTCATACATAACAATATGCTAGGATAAATTTCTAAACCTCTTGTAATAACATGCTATTAACATATACACTACTTAAAAATATATTCTATGCAAGATATGTTCAGTTAAAGCTAACAACATTATTATATAAATTCTATTTAACCGTTATTTTATTATTTTTATATTCGTATTAGAAAATTTAATATATATTATACTATATTGTACTGTATTGTATGTATAATGTATTACATTACTAGTGCAATAATTAATAAACAGGTAATGCAACAGTAGTTTATTTTCATTTTATAGATCTTAATGCTATTTTAATAAAATATACTGTTATGAATATTTTGTATATTTTTCTAAATTGTTTTATATCGAAAATACTTAAATTTCTTAACATTTTATTTCGTGAAAATCTGGATTATAGATAAAATGTAATGATTCTTTTTCTTTCGTCAATAAAATTAAATATAATTGTAAGATGATAATAATTTTGTTTTGTAAGCTTTTATTTTATGCGTTTTGTTTTATTTTTTTCATATGAAATAATAAATATTTACATTTAACTATCAGAATAAATGTGTGGGTAAAAGTAACATATTGTTGTTCGTGGGTGTAACTTATAGAACTCACATAGCAACTTTATTTAATAATATAATGCGTTTTAAATATTAACATGAAACTAAGTTTATACATGGAAATTGTTTTTGTGAGATGATACAACTAGTCAAAGAAACAATAGAAACGTTAAAACCGCGTAAATGATATAATTATACTAAATTAATGGAAGGGAATATAGGAACTGTGAGAGATGTTAAAAATTTAATAATAAGTAAGTTAACGAAATTAAGGTAAATGTATAATGTGTGACAAAATATAATTAAAATGAACTGGCATACACTATACGGAATTGCTGAATCGTAAGAAAACGAAATGTTTAAAAGATGAAGTTAATATCAAAACAGGTTGAGCAAAAAGTTTATAGAAGGATATACCTATAAGCAACTATAATGATTGTGAAAACTACACCATAGACAAGGTATCAATAATATTATATGGTTTAGATTGAAAAAAGTGGGATAAAAAAAATTTTTCAAGTTTTATGAAGTTAAAATAAATTTTAGATATTAACTATGGTAATGTTTAAATCAAATATACGTAAATAAATTAGTCTTCCTAGGAAGATTGTTTTATGAAAAAGTAATGAATGCGTTTTCATAATTATTTAAAAAAAAGTATACTTGTACACTTTATATATATTCATAGTACAATGTACACATGATAGACTGCTGTAAATTATTAATATGAAATTTTATTATGTTTAATAAGATAAGACTGTTGTGGTTCTGATAGTTTCATTGAAATGTATTCTTGTTAAATTATTAAATTGCATGGGGCACGATGAAAGGCTGAATGGACTCATATTACGATTTATAGATTTTTCTAGATTTTATGAAAAAGTGTACGTAATATAATTCAAAAATCGTCATTTTGTTTACAGGGGATTCGGATTCGTCACTTTCGCAGATCCGTCCAGTGTGGATAAAGTGCTGGCGCAAGGGTCACACGAGTTAGACGGCAAAAAAGTAAGTAAATTCTAGCCATATCTATTATTGACTTAATATAAAGACATGTAAAAAAATGTTTACGACAAAAAAGACATTTTAGACTAGTGGGAAAATATAATATTGAACTGTATGGATTTCACGATCGATAATAGTAAAATTAATCGGTTGTTTTTAATATTTCTAATTGCTATTCATCAGAAAATCAAATAATATCGTTTCAAACGAGTACATTTATGAATAGCTATTATAGTAATACTTTTGATTGAAATTAAAAACATGACTTCAATATCAAAATCCATTGAATCAAATTTTCATTATACATCGATATGTTATTTTTGAAAATTAAAATGTGAATACTGGTAGCCCTATTTTTGGTTTTCAAAAGTTTATACTTTTTTTTGCAGTATTTTTAAACTGTTTTTTTAGTATTTGCATACTACTTATTGGAAAATATAATTTTTTTTCGATTTTCATCTCGGAAGGTTTTTCAAATTCAATATAGTAAATATAATGAGGTCGATAAGAAAAAAAGAATGAGAAATAAATAAAAATGCATTTATACAAAACGTATGCTTCGTGCAATCGTACTCTCTTATTTTATTCATTTATTTATTTTTTCATTGTGGACTAAAGTTAAGCTCGTTTGTATCCATCAATGTATCGGAATTCATAATAGTAAATCAGCGACACACAAGTTAATACAAAGAGCTTATATAAACGATTACCAGGACAAAGCGGTGTTAGAATGACGGCTAGGAGATGACGTTCATTTTCGCCATCTCGTGTCACTTTCACAAAGTTTATTAGTGATAATAAAGCTGGTTTAGTCATTATGCCTGGAATCGGATTATAACGCCACTGTAAAGTATGATTCATAAAAACGAAATCAACTGTATAATATAATCCGCATTCGACACGAATGCTTTAAAATGCTTTAAAATTTATGCTTTAAAAGGTTGATGATAATTTTACACTTGAAAACACATTTTGTGATCACCGCTCTGTGGTCATCAATTTTTGTGTACTCTTCTTCAAGTACTATTCGATTTATTATACATTGATATTGAAATTTCTTTTGGTTCCGGAGGGAATGATGATGGAAAAGAAAAAAATATATTTGAAATAATATTTTGATAATCGAATTAAATCGTATTCATTATCTGTATGGTAAAAAAAATTAGAAATGAGAATTTGATGAATTAAACATTTTTATATATATATATATATATATATATATGAGTAATTAGATTAAGCTGAATTAACAGTTTACTACAATGTAATTTGTAATTTCAAATCGGTTTTCGATATTTTTCAAATAATTAGCTAAAACATGAAAATACCTAGAAAACACATAATTATATGTATAATACACTATATCACACTTTTTCTGGCTAAACGAATTTACTTTTTTCTTTAAAAAAAAAAATCATTAAAAACATATAAAATAGTAATATATATTTATATTAACTATAAATAAGTAACAAATACGCTCTTTTTGCTACACAGTGTAAACTACCTCTCATAGTATTTTGTAAAATTAATTTATTGCTTTTTTCTAAGGTGTCAAAACTGATAATATACTAATATGAGGCTAGTTTTACTCGTACGCATATACTGCTACCTTATTGAAAATATGACGACCGTTTCGAAATGCAAGTGGACCAATGACGGTAGTACGGGTAGGCGAGTGTGAGAGTAGTGAAATAAAAGAAAGATTAGCTCCCGTTTAAGTAAACACTCGGATGGCAGCCGCCACTTCGGCGTCGTGTCTTCGTTTTTATATATAAAATTGCATTGTGTGGCCACGCGCGTCTCCCGTCACTGTGAGAATTTCTCCACGTGACGGCACTGGCGACTTTCCGGCCGGTTTGATCCGGCGCACACTCGCCGATCGTGGGCGCGTCCCGTCATCCATCGTTTCACTCCTAAACCCTTGAACACACAATTTTATTATTTTTCCCTCGCTCTATATGTTATTGTATCGTTATTATAGTTTAGGAGATTATGCCTCGACCATTGCTACCTCGTCCTCCTTACTGACGTCGTCGCCGTCTGTCATTTTTGGAAGCTGCTGCTGCTGCTCGATTTCATCATATTCCCGGTCTGCGTCATCCATTCGAAAGTTTTCACTCGCTCCGTTGTCCGCCGCCAGTGCGGAAATAATACATAATACCGTTAAAAACTAATACGTTCGAGGAGTATATCACGGTATTATTATAGCGTGTGCAACGCGTCACGCACGTTTTCAAATGTCTTCCGCGTAAGCTTCATCGCTACGGGGCGAATGCACATAAACGACTTTGCGGTACGGTTGCCAACATCGAATGCTGCACTGAGGGTTTATATTCTTTTCTACTTCATTTCACTGGATTCGATTTTTTTTTTAAATCTTCTCAACTCATCTTCCGCATTTTCATTTTAAAACTTTTGTTGCATTTCTAGAGGTCTATATATATATATTTACGCTTAATATTTTATATGGAACTTACGAGCCGTTACATTAATAACTATAATCTATATTTAAACGTTACCTTTGGGTACAAAACAGAATCGTCTCGTATTAGTTGACCGTTAAGTTTAAAATATTGAATGTATTCTTTCGTTTTTACGGCAAATGTATCTTTTATATATTTTTTTTTTTTTTTTTTACTATTTTCGTGGTAGTTAATGTAAATTTAAATGACGTACCGTTCTTGAATACTTAATTAATTTGCTATCTCTATCTTCCAATAAAATATACGTATTACCATAATTAGTGTAATTGGTATAATAAATGCTATTATCAAAGAAGCCACATGGAATTTATTCGTTGGCTGGTAGATATTGTGAACTTTATACAAGTTTGAACTATGATATCAACCATCGATTGACGGTTCATTTGTAATCAGTGACCCAATTTTAGATAGACACAAATAAATTGATTTCAAGAAGGCCTTGTAGCATGTGCGGACGATTGAATGCCTTGGATAGAAAACATATACACTCCAGTGAAATTGACAGAATAGTGCCAGGTATATATAGTGTATTTGGGGCATTCCTTTTTATGTAGCTAATACTCAATATCAAAAATACTTACATACACTTTTATCCTGTTCTCCATTTTTATTTACACGGTAACGGATATTGCGTGATCCTAATTAAATCGAATATTTATTATAAAAATGGTATGAAACAACTTCAAATGTGTAATGTTTACAATCCGGTCTCTCGGTTGAAACCCCAAAAATCAAAGATGCATATAATTTAAAAAAAACATATGTGTTTTACATAAAAAAAAAAAAAAAAATGATGAAAATATTTATTTTGAGTTGCAGAATATCATCTTAACTGTATTATACAACGAATGAACTATGGTTGTGATTTAATAATTTAGTTCGATAAACAATTTTATTTATTTGCCATGAATTGTTTTACATAATTCTAATTTCAGTATACTATTCCGAAATTATAAATATTTATTCAAGCTGCAGTTTATATGAAACTAAAATATCGATGTACATATTGTTTTAAAATACGTTTTGTATAAACCATAGTGCATTGGGTGATCGCTATAATGTTACAACTGGTTTGCTTAATGGGATGAATATAAACCTGGCGCCGAAATTCTAAAATTTTACTCAGGCCAAATAAAAAGTCTCAAGCTCTTCAGTGGCCACTAGCCTACATTTTTACTTTCCATAGAAAACCAATTTGTGCTCTCAAATTACAAGTATTAAGCAAGATTCATACTAGTCAGACACATACCGACATACACTGTCCGCAAAATATTTTATCAAGTGTTTTAATTTAGGCAATTCGCATTTGAACGTTTCCGTAATACACGTACCGATCCGACAAAGTCCGTCCGGCATTCCTCGTAAGAATAATCGCGAGGTCAGAATATTGCAAAGTGCAAACCATAAATCGGCCCTTCTGACCTCCGGCATCATTTTAAAAATGTGGTCAGGCCGCAGCCTAGCCTGAGCATTGGGTGCGGCATCACTAAATATAAACATTAAACTGATCAGATACAGTTCGTAGGTAAATACAATCAGTGACTTTGTTATGCAATAGGTAAACGTGGTAATTTTTACAAACTACAGCAAGTGATATATGATTTTTTTGATTAAGTAAATGCGAAATGTTTTCGAATTTCAGCCTGTATCTGTATTCAGGACTAGTCCTGGTTGATCTACTGTGAACATAGACGTAGCAAACAGAAATGTATCACAGTCACAAACTTCTGGCTACTACTACAGTTGTTAGTGCTATTAGTGCTGTGGCGGACGGACGATAAACTGTTAGACGTTCGTAAATCTAATTGGAGCCGGTGTGCGAATCCAGCCAACAACGATGGAGATGGACCGTCGCGAGATCGGAGTGGTAGAAAACCGCGGGCGTAAATCAAATTGATGTAGAAGGGAGAAAAGAAATAAAAGTAAAAGAGTGCGGTGGTAAGGAGCAAGAATAGATTGCGATGGGATGTGAAGGGATGGAGGAAAAGTACCAAAAAAAAAAAAAATAGGGAAAATAAGGCCTTACACAAGTCTAAGAGATCAATTAATTAAAAGAGACACAAAGCGATTGTGTGCGTAGTCTAGTCGGTTCGAAGAGCTAGGGAAAGGAAGGCGTTACTGCGATAGTTGCGTGCAAGGAGCTGGTTTTCGAGAGAGGGAGAGAGAAATATAGTAATTTATTTGGCATTTCTCGGCTGATGGAAAGGAAAAGAAGATTATTCTATACGGTGATATAGGATGTGTGTTTGTGTGTGTCCGTATGACATTGTTCGGAGTTACGGTCGATTATTACAGTTGCAGTGACGGTGATGCCCTGCCACCGCCACCGTTACGGAAACGACAGTTTGATTAAAAAATCACCACCCTCTCCCTAGGACACGTGAACTTTTGTAGACTAACCTTTGATTTTTGCTCGTTGTTCTCTCGGTTTACGTTCACATCCCCTGCCGCTTTCAAATGTCACACAATCTGGTGCTGCCTGTTGGCAACGAGAAAAATGACGTTTGTTATCAATCTACGTTT